GCAGAAGGTAGTCAATACAGTGGGCATCAGTTATTCAGTGGATATTCGTATAGGACATGGCAGGGAGTAATTTCTTCAAGATAATGTTTGTTCTTCTTTCCATTCCTCCTTGTAATTTACCTATGCCTCCTATGGTTCCTGATACGTTGGAGTATACCCCAGCGAATTGATCTAAGCCATCTTGTCCCATGATTTCTTTCTAAGTTCCAGACTTGCCAGGAATGTTGTCTCAGTCTTCAAATAACAGTTTTTGTTGGAAAGCTACCAAAAAACCAAACTTATTTGAAACAAAGAGGTTAAGTAAACAACTTGATTTAAAAAAAAAAACAAAACAAAAAAAACACCAAAAAACCCCAGCAACTAAACACTAGTTGTATACTAGCTGTAAAACAAGTTCACCATTCCAGAACCTGAACTGTATCTGACATGTCACACCTCAGGGCAACATGTATCAGAAAAAGAACGTTTAGAAACTGTCACATAGTCGGTTTCAGTTTAAAAAGAGTTTGGTCTTGAGAAAAGCGTACTGAAAGGATGAGGTACAATCACAGCTAACGTCGCAGAGCATGCACCTGATGTGCAGTAGCTGTTCGTCTCTGAAATGAAGGAACCAGCCAGGAGAGAAATGCTGAGCTGCAAGGTGGCACCTGGGGAAAGCAAAGGAAGCGTCCACAGTCGGACTCAGGCAACATTTGGCCACCCGTGTGCAACTGAGGAGACACGTTCCCATTCTGCCTCCCTTTTCTTCTAGATGCACGCTGGAAGATCACTCTCTTCCCAGGACTTCATTACTGTCTTTCATCCTAGCTTGGGGACAGCAAATTCAGGATTTATGGTATCTATTGAGGTTACAAATGAGGTCACGAACATCCTTCGGTGGCTCCACAGCTTGCCAACCTTTCTAGATCTTTAGCAAACTTACAGACATGACTCTGTTCACAGGCATATTAAATTCTCCTGTTTGACACCTCTGATTAATCTATACCATCCTTTAAGAACTGGCAGGACTTCCTGTTTTGATTTTGAATTATCTATTTGGTACACTTTAGTATTTGTGTTCCGTGAAGAAATTTTGAATTTTTGTCAGTTCTTTTGTTAATTAAGGTTTCTTGCTCTCATTTCACCATGATGCTTCAAGCAATCCTTGAGGAGCATCTTCTTGCAACCAGAAAAGTACTGAGTACATTAATGTAGAGGTCTCATCACAGCTCCTAACTGAAGGTTGTGACACAGTGTGGAACCAACTCCCATCTATTTAAAATAGAGCTTGCCAAAACATTGTCAATGAGTCATATGCAGCCTCGCATACTTCTAAGTACAATCCAAGGTAACGTACAGTCCTGCACTGCTATTTCCTAGCGCTGTAAACATCCCAGAAAATGCTTCTTTAATGCAAAATTACCTGTCACTATTGTCTGCTCTGACAGTAACTGCTCTGAGTAAGTCTAACGCTGGAATAACAGCAGAGCATCTCTCCACTAATTTCTGTGGAGTTCTACCTGTTTAATATACATTTAAATACAAGAAGTGACATTATCATTCTATCCACTTATTCTAGAAGTTTGGACTGTTATTTTCCACATGGAATGATTCACCTCAAGTCAGCTATGAATTGCTTTGCTCTGAAGACCTGTTTGAACACTCAACGAATAGCTGATGAGAAAAACATTCTAGGGGAACAATATACCTGCCTACAACTAATGCACTTGGAGGACTGAGACATTATTTTACAACGCTTGGCATTAAGGGAATGACTAATCTGTCAAGCTACTTGGCTATATCTCTCTCCCAGGCTACCTGTAAGAGAGTCTGTGCCTTCAGTCCAATCCTGGCTACGGTCTGACCTCTCCAGCGTACTCTTTAACCAGCCAGAAGGGAATTTCCACGGTTTGAAATATCACCCTGTCCTTCATTTATCTCCCAGCCTTCGCTCTGGGAGCAACCCAGGGTGCCACTGGATAAATAGGCGATTACTAATATTGCACAGAAAACCTTCATTCTGGCCCTTTCCTAACTCCGGAGAGCTTAACTTTACAAACTTTGGAATAGTTTTTGTCAACATGGTAAGTAGAAAGGGGATAAGGCTGCCCTTGCTCAGATGAAATGTCTTTAATAAGTGGATTTTCTCGGATAGCGCTTTCTCTCCTCTCCATTACCCTGCATCCTTTACCACATCTGAGAGACATTCACTACCTTTCTACTTTTCACTGAAAAACCTATACTGCAACACTGGAAATGATAAAAACAAAATACCACCCTAAAATAGTTTTACCAAAATGAAAAAATTACCACTGACAAATTTGATATTTTGCTAGCGTTTTTATTTTCCACTAAGAAAGTTTAATTAAACCTCTGCTAGTTCCACCCAGGATGGAGATGAGGCTGTTCTAATAAATGGTTTTGTTTAAACTTTTCTGCCCATCATCAAATAGGAAAGACTGACATTTTATCTCCATTTCAAAGGAAACACTTAATTTCAAAAATTTGACGTTTTTAGGTGGTGCAAACATTTTTAAACTCCTCTCTAATCCTCAGCTTCTGCACTGTTGTACTCCTGACAGGATTCACCTGTAGGAGTTGTAAAAGGGATTGATTTTGTAAGCCACGGAGACTTTCTAGATCAAGATCTGACTAATACCATTTAGGCATTTACAGAGAGTTTCATTAACATGGATTAAAGAGTCATCAAAATGACTGTGTGTTGACTGTGTTATATGCAGATAGTATGATAAAGATGGTGGCCACATGCAGATTTAACAAACAAAGTTGATTGTTTAACATCCCTCTGCACACCCCGTTTGACAAACACGGCCTTTGGGAGGGGAAACAAAATAGACTGCAATTTGAACAGAACACGGAGCCAGTGTTCTGCATCACCTAGTTAACCTCAAACAAGATTAATCAGATCTCTTTACCCGAGATGGTGTAACCCGGCTAGGATCTGCTAAGAAAATGTCATTGTTCAAAATACACTGCTTCTTGCTAAGCTGTTTGCTTTCTCTATTGACAAAAGACGTAAGGAATATGAGAATGTCCTGTCCTTTAAAATGCAGGCTATATTAGCGGGTTTCCTTTCAGCTTGTCTTTGCAGAAAGGATAAAGCAGCTCTTGCACGAGCGGCACAGCCATCCCGGGCTCCTCCGGGAACCCGCTGTTCCGACTCCTGCCCGCCGTTATTGAGTATCTCTGCTTTAAAAACTAACATTTCCAAATGTCCGCAGGTAGAGGGGGAAATCACAATCGACTGCTCATTGCCGAAATTCATAGTCTTTTTGCAGTGTCACTATAACAGAGACATAGGCATCCACGTAAGAGCAACACTGCAAGCAGACATATAGTCCCAGTTTATCCACATTTTGATAAATTTCAGCTCTATTTTTAGAACTTTTATAAACTAATGTGGGTGTTTATGTAAAAGAAGGTGGCTGAGGGCTGGGAACGATGAGCTCCGAGAGCTCCGTCTAGTTTATACATTACACAGACAGAGGATTTTGCCGTTAAATGAAACACGATCCATTTGTAATGAGATATATTTTATTTTCTATTTAGGAAAGACTGAACATTTAATTGGTCCAGTCTTAGTGTTAATCCACAGCAGTGCTAAATTTGGATCCAGATATGGCTTCTTATGATTTGCATGTTTTCAGCTTTATGACTGGAAAATAGTACTGGGGGAAGCACAACAGCCCATCAGGCACAGCCTGCAGGGCCGAAGGCAGAGAATGCAACAACTTGACCTCAGCAAGCTTCAAGCAGTTTAAAAAAAAAACAAAAACAACCCAAAATCCCCCAAAAAACAACACACCCCCACACACTACATGCCATTGAAATTGTAAAAGGGACAAGAAAGGCAGAATGCAATGAACAGAATTAGAATCAGACTAAGGCTTTGAGTAAACATCTTCACTTATACAAAAATGTGGGAAAGAGTGACAATTATAATACTCCTCTAGAAAATAGCGTCCTACCACACATACCATGCATGATTGCTGCTCTTTAACAATGCACAGCGCAGAAGCACATTGCTTCCATCCACAGCTTGGCAAGAGCACCTCTGTGCTCTTTTGTACAAATACATATCAGTCCCCTGTGCCTCAGAGAAGACGCAGCCTAGAACAGAGGCTCAGTTGATGCTATTATAAGCAGCACGGTGGCGTTCTTCGCTGATCTCCTGTTCTGATGCTGACGTGAACCATCTCACAGCACCAGGACCATACAGCTGTAAATTAAAAAGAACACTGTAAAAATACAGGAAAGTGCACCTGTGTAATTTGCAATATGTCTCACAAAACAAAAAGGTATAGCTCAACATCTTATTCCTTCTTTTGTGTATGATTTCTCAGCCAGTCCAAGACAACAAGGGTTCAATAAGGCATCCTTCAAATAACTGTAATGCACGGTTTGAACTGCCATGCAAAAGTATACTCTCCCCTCTTGGCTTTATGAAACGCAGCTATAAAGTCTCTGGACCATTTTTCATGTGTTCTTTCCTACCATCCAAGACTTCTCTATAAAAAGAAGAAACAAGGACTGGCATTTCAGAAAATGCAGACACAGATTTAAGCATTATGCAGTGAGAGCAACTACTCACTAGGGACTTGGAAAAGATCAGCACAGCTATTGCAACACATAACGTAACCGAGATGGAAAAAAACTCATCTTCCATCCTGGATGTTTATTGCATATGTTACAGCCCTCTGTACATCCAGCCATCCCTGATGCTCGTAGGAATCATATAAGCAGAAAAAGAACAGAACATTCTCAAGAAAGCCTCTGCAAAGAGAATTATAATCTCCAGGGTGAGAGCTTGTGTCATTAAATGTCTGACATCAGATTTTACCGCAGGCGATAGCGAAATTCTCACTGACTTCAATAGCGAAGTTTGGGCTACAGGCTCCCCCCCCCTCACTTTCCATTGGCCTTGCTCCTTGACAATGAGATTAGTGTTACAGAAATAGACTGAAGCTTTAAGAAACACGTAAAGGAAAAGATTTGGCGCTATGTTTGTATTTGTCCTCAGCTACCAAGAGCTTCGCTGGTTTGAAGGAGCAGAGGTCAGAGACACACAGCCAAATTTGGAGTGCTGGTCGCCACGCTGGTTTGAGCCACACAGGCAGAATCGCCCACCCCCCAGCCCTGTTCCCGACGAGAGGCATCACAAGATGGAAGCGCTTATTTCTCAACAGCTTTATGCACTGTGCCACACTAACACACCTGAACCTGTGCTGCCACTGCAATCTAGGGCTTTTTCAAAAAGTGGTAATACCTGATTTTCCTGAAATTTTCAAAATAATCTTGCAAGAGATGGTGTAGGACAGGGTTGAGATGCCAAATCAGCATATGGCAGCATTTGTGCAGAACCCCCTTTAGAAAGGCGGGCTAACGAACCCAGCCCTTTTGCCATCCTCGCTTTGAAAAACTAGAAATCGGTAAAAAAAAAAAGTAATACGTAGGTGTGGTGTATCTAAAACGTCTCAGAGAGCTCAAACGCCCCTCCAGGCGAAGCAGCCAGCCGGGGCTGCACACCTCCAGCTCCCGCGGGAAGGTGGCTCAAGAGGAGCCAGCGGCACCCTCCCAGCAGCAGCCCCCCCATCCCAGGCCTGACTGGGTCATTGTACAGTACACTGGTGACATCGTTTGAGGTCAGATGCTTTCTCGTTGCTGTTTGTTTAAACACAAATGGAAAATATCTTTTATCATGCAGATGTGTAATCGACCTCCTGGCAAAGGTTAGCATCATAGCCACGAAACACACTGCACAGCACTATGAAGTGAGAAAGTATTTTGTAAAGTTTCTCTTTTTACTGAAAAAAACCCCTGTAATATCCAGGCTTTAAAAGTATGATAAAAACATAAATTAAAGATATACCTTAACGCAGCCAATAAAATTCAATTTGAATCTAAATAGTTTTCAAATGAAATATTACAGTAAGTATGCTTTATAAGGCCATCTAACCTCACAATTCCATATTCAGCTAATTTTTTAACTGGAACACTATTTTTTCCACTGTTTAAAGCTATTACAAATGTTGCGACTACCTTCCTTAACTGGCACTTCCATTTTTATGGGTATCCGAAAGAAGCAATTAAAAAGTTCAAAATAAAAAGTTCAGACAAATACGTGATCCATGCTGCAATTTTCCATACGCTGACTACTGCCAGCTTTACGACTTGGCAGGTGCTGGGAATATCCCAGCAAGTCTCCTCCAGGACCATCAAGAAAACATTTTGTCTGGCTTCAAACATCAGCAGGACCTCTGGTGTGCTAGCAGTAAGCCCCCAAAACATAAATGCTTATCCAAACCTTATTGTAGCTCACTAAGCTTTGAAGTTTTCCAATTCCCACTATTCTTGGGCGCGTTTCCCCCCAGTCAACTTTGAGAATCAAGGTGAAAGAAACTTGAAACCAACATCAAAAATGGGGAAATCTCTTACAAGGCAGGTGGCAGGTGAGGATGTACTGTTCCCCTTGCAGAGCATTTGATCCTTTACAGAGGCTCAACTTTGGGTAAGGCCCAGGGCCGAGTCTCCATCCGTTATTCTCACACCACCACCCCCAACCAGCAGGCTGTGTGCTGCAAGTTTCGCACGTGCAGAGAGTGTTCCCGTCCTCGCGCGTGTTACAGGCTGTTCAGCAGCTCCTGGCAAGCTCCTGCCCAAATCACTCGCAGCTGCGCAGCTCGGTTGACCCTGGCACTGGAAGCGAGTGACGATGGAAGCGGCTGGAAGGGAGTCAGCACAGCTCCATCCATCACACAGGCACTGCCTGCCCTGGTCTTTTCTTTGGCAAGTATCCTCCTATAAATTTTCTGGAACTGATGCTTTTGCAGCACTTAGAGCCTTACCTCTGTTAGTGTTTCCACATTTCCTCCCTCCCACGGTAACACCCTCGTAATAATTTCCCATTAAAAAATGCACGTACTATATACAAGACTAAGAGCTACCTGTTGCAAAAAATCATTTAAAGCAATTTGGTAAAATTTAGAGGATGGAGCTTTGTTTTCCTATCAGACCATCAATATATACTGCAGAGGACTTACAATGGGCAGCACTGAAAAGCATCCTTGTTCAAATGCTTTCACAAATTAAACAGCATTCATTTTCTCCATACACCTCATTTAAAGCAAAATGCCTTTGTGCAGCTTTGCGCGTATTTGGCAAGGAGAAAGGTTGTAAGACTACGGCGATTACCTTAAAGCGTCAGCTGTTTGATGCTACATGATTGCGTTGAAGTCAGCCAGTGTTTTGGGAACCAAACCGTCCCTCTGAACGCTGCTTTTTATGGCAGAAAAATACATGCTGTAGAGTACTGGGGAAAGGAAGACGCACGCACAGCCAAGAGCAGAAAAGCAGGGTAGGTTAAAGAGAAACTCACGTGATTCCTAAATCCAAATTCTTTGGACATGATACCCTTCAGCTGGACGCTGCTGAGAAGGACCACATGGCCTTTTCAACAAGCCGAAGGCTGGAGTAAGTCATTGCAATTTCTGCTTCGTGTACTGGGAGCAATTTACACAATTCACTGATAGGTGGCAACACCACACAGAGATAAAACCCACGCGCAGACAGCTTATTAATGTGATAAATAGCCTGGGTTAGCAGAGGGGTGGACACCAAAAATACCATCTATACAAGTTTATGGTTACTTCATTTTTTGAAGAAACTTGGCTAAGTCCTTACTTATCCTTTTTCGTGTACTGACCACACTCAAAAGTCTGTATTTCCTTTACACACACACAAAAAAAAAAAAATCTGGAGAAATGCAGGGTACATTCCTGATCGGCAGAACAGAGAGAGGACAGCCGCCCCTCTGCCAGCACCACGGGGACAGGCGCCCTTCCCTAGGGATGTCAGGGCGACTGGCTAAAGTCTTTGCAAGAAGGCGGTAGCAAGGGCAAGTTGGGAAGGAGAGAAAAAAAATAAAAATAAAAAGGAAAAAGAAAAAATAAAGGAAAAAATAAAGAAAAAAGACGGGCGGGTGAGAGAAAAAAGAAAAAAAAGGGAAAACAAAATAAAAGAAAAAAAAAGAGACGTAATCCTGAGGGGAAGGCAAAAACTTTCCCGAACCGGCTTACCAGGAAAAGCAGAAATCCCTGCCGCGCGCAGCGCATCCCGCAAGCCCCGCCCCGCTGCACGGA